AGACAGAATTTGGTTCCAGAGAAGTGGGGTTGTTGCTATGACTGTATCTGACCATGTGGTTCAAGTGCCTTTGGGAATGGCTTGTGGGAAGAGTTTGGGAAGGTTCAGGGATATCACCTGAAAGAGAAGAGCTGGAATAGAAGGCTATTTTGTACAGGAGATTCTGGTCAGAGCTCAGAAGACCAGAGAGCAGATGAAATCCTGCCAGTAAAGACCATCCTTGGAAAGTTTTTGCTGGGAAGAAGGACTGCATTCGCTGTTGGACTCCAGATGATGTGTGTTATGGTTTCGCAGAAAGTTTATCTGCCTGAGACTGAGATTAAGGGTGGAGCACTAATGTGACAGAAGAAATGGCAAGGTAGTCTAATGTTGAGGCAGTGGCATGGCTGTTATTGGGGGCTTTTAGCCACATTCACATTGTGAATCAAGCACGAAGAGCCCAGCAGGCTCATTTAAAACATGAGTTTGGCCAGAAAGGAAGCTCCAATAAGCAGTGGACTTAGACAGAGCTGAGGAGATCTTCACTGCTGAAAAGGAAGAGGAAAATATAAAAGATGGCCTGAGGGCATCACAAGAAACAGCTAGTCTCCACCCTTTGCAGCCTCAAAACTGCAAAAATGAAAGACTTTCCTTTGAAGACAAACCCGCAGAGCACCATGTTCCAGAATGGTGGCAGCACAGCGAATTTGCTCCTCAGAATTGGATTGAGAGTGCCCAGCAATGCAGGCATTCAACTTCTACAGCCAAGAGAGAGGGAAGCTTGGCTATTGCTCCAGATGGCAGCAGACTGTGGCAGCAGCCACATGGCACTGGTTTTAGGCGCATGCAGAATGCAAGAGCTGTGAGATTAAAAAGTCTTCCACCCAGATTTCAGAAGGCAGTGTGGGAGGCCAGGCAGCGTGTTCCTGAGAAGGCAATATGTGAAGCTGTGAGAGTGAAGCCAAAAGTTCAGTGGCAACTCTAGAAGTTTGAATAAGCCAGGAACGTGGATCATTTGAAGAAACCTACAAAGAGTGAGTGAAGTGGGCCCAGTAGAGAAGCCACGGGAGCTACCACCACCAGCAGTGCCTTAGGGGTGGAGCTACTCAAGCCTTTTGGAGCTCACAACTTGCCACAGGTTGCAATGGATGCTGCACATGAAACTACAGGACTTAATGTTTGCCCTGCCGGGTTTTGGACTTACTTTGGTCCCATTCCTTTGTATGCCGATTTGTAACTTTTGGAATGGAAATGTCTATCTTGTGCCCCTGAATGTTGGAAGTGTTTAATTTTCTTTCTTTTTTTTTTTTGGTTTTTCTCTGGTACCAGGAACCGAACTCATGACCTTGCGCTTGCCAGGCAGGCGCTTTGCTACTGAGCTAAATCCCCAGCCCCGGAAGTGTTTAATTTTCTTTTCATTTGTACAGGGGCTCACAGCTAAGAGTTTGCTTTACATCTTGGAGAAGACTTGGGACTTGGACTTTTCTGCAATTCTGAAACTGTTAGGACTTTGGCAACTCTTAGTTAGATATGGACTAAAATGCTTTTTTCAGAAAGGTATGCACATGAGTCCCTGCAGGGGGCCAGGGGTGGAATGTTATAGTTTCTGTCTGGATGTCCCCCCAAAGCCTCATGCAGTTATGGGGGCTGGTTCTAGAGTTTGTGACTGATTCATGGTCTGATGCTGGGATTATGAGTGTGAGTGCTACACCTGCCCTGGGGCGGGTAGCCTACATATAATATAAGGGAGGAGAAGAGGCTTGCTCTAGCTGCTCCTACCCCTTTTTCTCTTGTTTTTGCTGTTTTCTCCTGCCATGAAGCCATGAACAGTTCCTCTTTGCCATGTGCCACCCTGCCTTGGAACCAGCTGATTACAGACTGAAACCTCCACAAACTGTGAACTAAATAAACCTTTCCTTCCTTAATTTTGGGCATTGGGTATTTTGTCTCAGCAAGGAGAGAAAAATAACTAAGACAATGCTAGAAAAATTAAGTATCAGAAACAAAAGAAGGATATCATAAATACAATGTTTCCTCATATTATACACAAAAATAAATGGTGGATAAAGCAAAGGCCTGAAAATGAAACTTGAAACTAAAGTGAGAATATCTTTATGACCACGGGGAATGGAAGAATGATTTAAGACAGAAAAGTTAAGAATCTTCAAAGAATGAGACTGACACATTTAGCTCAGGTTAACTCAATAACCTCTGTTCACATAAAAACATCATAAAGAAATTGAACACTACTGACAAAGTATTGCCTGGCAAAAGGTAATCAATTTTTAAAGATTTGTAAGAATCAATAGCCCCAAGGAGAAAATCGAAAGAAAGTAGCAATCCACAGAAGTAGAGTGCCATGACCAAGAACCACAAAACGACAGTGACCACAGAGAATTATCATTTACCCTCAGACGGGCAGAGAAGATTAAGTCAGGAATAGGTCAGGATGTGGAGCGGGGAGCCCTGGTCTCATTATGGTTGAGGGCACCATGGCATACCTGTGTGCAGGGTAATATGGCATATTTAGTAAAGAGGACGATGTGGTTATGTATGAAGCAGCAATTGGCTCCCAAGTGTTTATACCCTTGTGAACCTCTTGAATGAGACACAAATCAATGAATGCTCATAGCATATTATTAGGAAATAAAGCACTGAAAATATAGGTAGCTTCAATCATAAATGGAATGTTTCACTCCTGAGAGATGAGATATATCTAGTGTGTCAAAATATACAGTGAACATTGAAATTCTTTTTTTAAAAAAGTATTAGCTTAAAAGACAATGCCATGAATTTCCCTTAGAACACCCCCCCCCTTGCTTCAAACACACTTATCCCATTTATGAAGCAGTTCTCAGTGTCCTCCTTTGTGAGTGTCTTTATAAGGTGCGATCAGTACGGTGAATGCTGCCGCTGAGTGCCATCCAACGGAAAGCCAAGCTTGTAACAACCCTCATCCACCTTTCCCACTAGTTCTGTCTCCATGAGACTTTTGGCTCTTTCCAAAAGTCAAAATCAGCATGAAAGGTAAACACACTAAATCATTTCACAGCATCCACACAACCACAGTTGAAAGAGGAATTGCAGATCTCTGTCTGAAAGTGTCAACAAGAATGAGGTAAGCGTGTTCAAAGAGAGAGAAAGTATTTTGAGGGGGATTAATGGCATTGCCTTTGCTGTAATAAAACTTGAAGAAAGCATATTTTTTGATAACATGAAGTTGCTTTTTACTGGTTTTCATAAAGATAGAGAGAAAAAACGATTATATCAAAAGTCTAAGCAATCAGTAGTGTACAAAGAGGTGCTAACATAATGCATTTAGGCTGGATCAAAACATTGCCACGTATAGGAAGCTTAAGAGCCCTGCTCCTATCATGCCAAAGCCCCTTCAGGGAAACATTTCCTCACCAGAATTAGTATGTGCATATTGCTGCGGAAAACAGGATGCCAGGATTCTCCTAAGAGCCCAGAGGAAGGGTCTCTAACCTGATATTTTAAGATGAGGAGGCATCAGTTGCTATCCTCCTCTTTCTTCAAGCTCCCTCTGCCCTGGTGCAGCCCTGAATGGGTGGTCACCACTGTACTGGGCTTAAGTCCACCACTGTCTAGACTGGGTCCTTGCAAATAATGGGAATTTTTAAAGTAAAACTGTTTATAGGGACTAGGGATTTAGCTCAGCGGCAAAAGCGCCTGCCTGGCAAGCACAAGGTCGTGAGTTCGGTTCCCGGTACCGGAGAAAAACCAAAAAAAAAAAAAAAGTAAAACTGTTTGGGCTGAAATGTTTTCAGAAAGCTTTTAATGGGCGCTCCTGTCAGTTTCAGCCAACAGCTTCAAAGCCTGTCACAGACTTTTGTGCATGCAAGGAAATCCACTCTCTCTGTCCTTTCAAGTTCTGATGAGCTCGGTGGATGAGCTTCAAAACAGCTCCAGTTTTTTCCTAATTGTTTAAGCAGTTGCTCATGGAAATGATTTAAGTAATCTTTTTATCTTTAATATATTTGTTTTGCTTGTGGAAATCTAAGCTGTACATATTAAAAAAGAATGACATGGTTCTATATTTCATTTGTACAGCCTTATAGGTATTGCAATCAAGAGCGTGATCCTTTGGCATTGACTCGGAGGTCTTTGATCAAGCTACTGTTTTTCTTATACTAGAGTTGACTCACTTCATAATGCCTAGTGGATTTTTTTTTGGATGAACATTTAATTCATAAACAGATCCTTTTCACTCTCTGTTCCTTTCAAATCAGTTTTTTAAAAAACTATAATCTAATACAATACATAACTGTTGGAAAACATTTTAAAATTTAATAAGATTAGCTTATCTGTGGATTCTCAAGGGTTTCACAGAATGAAAATAGCAACATCAGAGCATCTACTTCTAAAATGTGAAATAGGATTCAGGTATGCAAAGTCATGAAGAAAGTTGGACAGAGTTCCTGATAGGACAGCAAAAGAACGTTCGATACAGGAAAGGCTAGACTTCATTAGAATGAACTTATTTAGTTAATTTAATTTCAGAAAATTAAAATTAAGCTGAGAACACTGAGAAAATATTTGCAAGTCATATATCTGATAAAGGATATACATGTAGAGCATCCGAAGGACTGTTAAAACAGGAGAAGCTAATTACTACATGAGCACAAGACCTGAATAGAAATTTCTCTAATGAAGATACGCAAATTCCCACAAGAACAAGATGCTTAACATCATTAGTCATCACGAGAAGACTAAACAAAATCATAGCAAGATACCACCTTCACACCCACTGTGATGGCTGCAGGGAAAACAAAATAAAACAAAACAAGGGGGTGCGAGGTTGTAGAGAAACTGGGGTACTCATGTTACCGGTGGGATTGTAAAATGGTGTAGGCACCACGGAAAGTAGTCTGACAGCGCCTTCCACAGATTAAACATGTGCTACCACATGATCCAGTGATTCCACTTCTAGTCTAAGCCAAGGAGACATTACAAAAATAAAGAAAATAACGAAACCTCCCTTCGTGGAAGGGTCTACTCACTGAGGTTCCACTTCAGGCCTGTCGTCGTCACCTGACTGCAAGGCTGTCCAACAGGAACCAGGCCACACCAATCTCCTTCCAATCCAGTGTCTACGTGCAGTTTGTGCTTTCCCTGAAGTGAAGAAGGAATGGCCATTCAGGAAGGGAAGAGAAAGGGAAGGGTGTTACTCTGGCCAGAACACGTGGTAACGTGTCCTGGGTGCTGGCCGAGGACCTTCTACGGTTTCTCTTAATCTTAACAATACATTTACTTAGTATGTGCTGAATAATCCTACAATCTTTCACTTGACTTGATCCTCACAGTAATGTTTCAAGGTAGCTTACTGTTCGTTATTTATTTATTTTTTTGGGTTTTTCTCCGGTACCGGGAACCGAACTCACGACCTTGTGCTTGCCAGGCAGGTGCTTTGCCGCTGAGCTAAATCCCCAGCCCCTTACTGTTCGTTATTAATCTTACACGTGAGAAAACAGAAGCTCACAGACATTAAACATCTCTACCACACAGGTAGAGAGTGCTCCTACCTGTTCCTGTCAAATCCATGCTGAGGATGTAGCGCTATGTGGTCAGCATTCTAGGATCACTAGAAACACTTGTTTGAGTGCACAGAAAGAACTGTTTCCCAAGTAAAAACCTCTGCTTAACTAAACATTGGGTTTCTAGATGTCAAAGTCAACCCTTCCTCCATAGGGAAGGCTCAGGAAAAATGTACCTCTACCAGGAAATACTTCTATGTTCCATGAGAAATGGTATGTTTCTTCCATTCTGATCATAAAAACATAAAATTTATTATCTTTTCAATTTTCCAGATTATGGGAATGTTAAAATTTAATGGAATGCTCAATCAAGGTGACAATATTTGCTTTTAAAATAAGATATTTGGATACCCTCCTGCTTCCTCAAAGTAATAAACATCTATCTATTCTTTCCATTATTACTGGGGAATATAGTCTTTATAGAAAGATAACTCAAGTCCTATGGGAAAATGCCAAGGCACACATACATGCAACAATAGTGGAAAGGTATTTTTCTTAATTCATAGTGCCTTATCTATTCACAATATGATATACAACCAGAATGAAATAACTAGGTCTCCTTTGGTAGTCACTTTACTGTTTCTACTATATCTCTGTACTCTACGTTGTAGGTTACAAATGCAGGTTTATTGTGCTCTATATAAAGTCTCAGAGTGGAAGTGGACTTGCTGTGTCTTTTGTCAAAGAATTGCTTTTACTACTAGGAAAACAACATTGCATATCAGTCCCTGAATTTTAACACACACTCATTCAGATCCTTACCAACTCTACAATTCCTACACACAGTCGCAGAATATGTTTTCTGTTTTTATTTGAACAATGAATCAGACAGTCATGAATGTAGTTAAAAGGGCCTAAATACAATCCAACACCAGGGAATTTTTAAAGGAAACATAAAATACATTTTAAACTTGGTGGCCATCACTGGGAGAAGACAGGCAACAGGCATAGATACAGGAAGCAGTGGACTAAATGCACACAGAGAAACCGGGTGGATTAAAAGCATGACGGACTGCGAGAGGGATAATAATAATGTCCATAAACTGCTGTGGAAAGCAGATGTGAAACTGCCCTTCTCTTCACCCAGCCATAACTTGCTCATATGCGAAGCTTCACACTAGTGTTAGAGACATAACTGTACTTCATAAAACTGATGTGTGCATGGACGGCAAAGGAAATACTACATGTCAGAGAGCTCACTGCAGCTGGGAACTGGGGCAGTGAGTAGGCAGGGTGCTCCCTGAAGAGCAAAGTTTGTGCTGGGGACTGGAGGATGAACAAGCTTCAGCACTGTGAAGAGACAAGGGAGGAGGGGTCTGCAGGCCAAGGGAGCACGTGCCTCAAGTCTATCAGGGAGACGCCAGGCGGCTATGCCTCAAGTCTATCAGGGAGACGCCGGGTGGCATCAGACATCCAATTATGGGCCAAGCAAACAGGGATCTATGTGTTTAAACTGAGCATAGTAGACACAGTTCCTGTACCTGTCCCCCCCATTGCAGCTTGTCCCTAATATTAACTTGCCTTCCCATGGTGCACTTGTTGCAGGTGATGAATAAAGAACGTGTTCAGGGAAGTGAAAGCATTTTGCGTGACACTGAAAATGGTGAATACATGACATCATGCATTCCTCAAAACCCAGAGTGCACCACAGATAGTAAGCTCTCATGCCGGTTGTGAAAATTAGTTAACAATGTATCCATATTCACTCATCGTCTGCAACAAGTGCACCATGGGAAGGCAAGTTAATATTAGGGACAAGCTGCAACGGGGGGGACAGGTACCGGAACTGTGTCTAATATGTTCGGTTTTCCACAAGCCTAAAAACGCTCTGAAGAAAGTCTGTTATTTTAAATGCGTCTCACAGCGATTGCTTTGCTTCTCACTGCTGGCGTGGGGCCGAGTGCATGAGCTGGTGGGTTTGAAACTTGCACTAGATGAACGGTGTCACACCACACCCAGACGACATGCAGCTGCTCCTCTGCAGCCGTTACCGTGCATTCTGTCATTACCTCTCCAAATAGTTTTTATTGTAAGGCACGAGCTGCATTTATTGCTTTCTGTGAAGTCTTCTGTGAACCAACTTCGGTGCAATAGCTTGCCACAGAAACTCGAGTTTGGTTTCTCCTTACCATGCTCCATTGCAGAAATAATCATCTCTACAGACAGAAATCCTACATATAATACAAACAACCGAAGGTAGGACGCTTCGAATGCTTCTGAAATAATGGAAGCCTCTTATGTGATTAAACCAGTTGAGGACAGAGGAATTGGCAGAAGTTCTGATTTTCTTAGAGTTAATTTTGGTTTCACCAGCAAAGCAATAAGCACTTGTTACGAAAGGGGATCCTGGTCCAGTTTGCAGCTGGAATGCTGTAGTCCAGAGCGGCCACCAGAAAATACCACACTATCGGAAAGGCTTCCTCCTGTGAACCTCTAACTTCCTGGGAACTGGGAGCCGACAGCATAGGAAAAAGGCAATCAAACTTTGGTATGCTTGTTGTCCCTGCTAATGTTAGGAAAGAAGGACAAAAAAAAAATTTTTTTCAACTGGTGGCTATTAACTCCCTGAGAGAAGTCTTCAACTTGTATCCTATAATGCAAAGGAAACAGCACATATACATGTTCACGTTTATTTTCCCGGGGAGAGGAAAGGCTGTTACAAAATCACTGACTTAAAAGACCGTAGTAAGCTTTCTTACCCACCCTTGCTATGTATTCATTGCCTTCCTCATATTTTTAAGAATCAACAGACCTTAAAATTTTCAATCTGGGAATAAACTGGTTTGCAGGCTGGAGAAGGCACAGATAAATCTTCGCTTATAATCAATTAATAATTTTTCTCTCATTCCACAAAGGTGTTTGCCATATGTGAATGGTCTTTGTGTTCATAAATATGCAGATTTAATGTTTTTTTTTTGTTTTTGTTAAGAGCAGTTTTATGCTTTCTTCTTGCACCTTAAAGTCTACGTGACATCTTTAATGGAGGAATTTTGGTTCAGTCCCTAGATTTCTCAATTAATAATATATGCTTGTCTCTGTGTGGTTAGACACAGCAGCCATACAGCCTGACATTAAAGAACTTCCCGCAGGATTTATGCCATTACTAAAGACTAGAGGCACATGAGCTAATCATTTACTTCCATCTCGTCCCATGAATCATCACACGGGTTCCTTCTCTGTCCTCCATTCTGAGCTAAGACAACTCTTTGAAGTCGAAGGCAGTACTGTACAGTAAAGGAGAGACAAAAATCAATCCCACACAGTTTGCTCCTCCAATTGTGGTTATTTGATCAGATCTAATAACCTTAATAAGGAATGAACTTATAACTTAGTGAAAGGTCATAAAGATGTTGTATGACACATATACTGGGTACTGTGCTTCAGATCATGATAATCACAGCATCATGGATTACTTTCCCTATACCATAATTCCCAACTAGAACAATGCTCATATAGACTCCTGTAAAAGTGTAAGAATTCTCTGTCACTTTGTTTTGTATTATTTTTCTCCTTTGCAAATAACTATAACTTAACTAAAAGATGAAAGCAAACCCTATGTTTTGCATTTGAAAACCACCAAACATACAGGCATTTGAATTTCTGTTCACATCTCTGAAATCTTAGCTGCAATAAGGATGTCAACAGTTTTGCTGAGATATCTTAGTGTAGATCTCACAAAATATGCAGGGAATTAATAAGGTCATCACAGGAAGAGCCCAAGGGTACTTTCTATTTAATGTGGAAGATTCCAGGAGCAGGAGCTAATGATAGTTTATAAAGTAGATAACCATGTGGCACGTTTCTATTCACGTGTAACTTTCATTTCATGGCCAATGACACCCAGAACTGCAAACACATAGTTAGAACCAGTAAAAACTGAGGGTAGCTGCAGAGCGACAAACAGAATGCTAACCTCTGGGAGCTCGTCTTTTGTTAGTTCCTCTGGGTGCTTTAAAAATTTATCAACAAAACTGCAAGAGACTGAATAGCCTATAAGAGAAAAAGCAAAGAAACAGACACAAGGACCAACCAGGAGACATTTACTGGGAGAAGATACTACTCATACTCCGATATAGACTTGTGCTGGGATATTTTCATGTTGTGATTGTTCACATGACAGAGAGGAATCACAAGAAAAAAACTGTCTCCTCAGAAAACTTGTACTTGTAAAACCTCGAACATACAGATTTGTACATTTTCTTTTCTCCGCTCCATTCATGTCGCATTCAAAATTGAAGTGTGGAAAGTTTACTTGAGATTCGGCTTGTACTGAATCGGATCTATCTATATTACATATATATGTAATGTACTGTAATAGATGTACTGACACTGCTATATAAAACATTACATGAATGTGTAATGTACTGTAATGTATTTAATGTCTGTAGTGAATTGATGTTCTGTGTATATAAAAGTGACATATATGTAAAGCTATATGTCTGTATAGCTTTTATATAGCTGTAAGTGGCTTTCAGAGTTTCAGATCACATTAGACTGTTTGTCAAAGTCTTTTCTACAGAATACTGCTCCCCAAGTCAAGTAAGGTTAGAAAAATTGCTTCCAGGATTACGCCCTTGA